TCTTCCACACATCCTGTCACCCGACTGGACCCTCCGAAACCAGGCAGAGAGGCAGGCTGTCAACTTTGTGGTTCAAGGTACTCCATTGCACCTTCCTATCTGTCTTCAGGATGCTCCAGGATAGGGCTGGTCTCTGACTGCAGGGTTTATGATACAGGTCTGAAGCCTCTATCTCTCAGCTTAAGAAGCTTAAAGTACTGAGCGACTCAAAAAGAATCAGGTTTTTGGGGATTCTAAAGGTTTCCGAGTTATAAATTGCTTCTGCACCCCTTTCAAACGATGGAAATAATCCGCACACTTTCTGAGGTACTTTAAGAAAAGACTGTTACGTTTTTTTTTTTATTGGGGCCCAGGGAAGGTTTTTTTTTTTTATAAATACAATTATAAACTCTCCAAGTACAATAAATCTTATTTTAGGAAAGGATTTATAAATTAGTCCTTTTTACCGCTGCGTTTGCAAACCCAATTGTAAACACCTCTGTTGTTTCTGATTCGGAATTGGGCGAGTTTGTAAAATGAAGTTTCTGTGCACTGACAACCTGTCCCTTTACCGGAGGAGGGAGTTCCACAGCCCTCTTGCTTTGCCTGCTCTCATCCTGCTTTTCAAAGCGCAGGGTAGCCGTGTCTGAGAGTTGGAAAGCGAACTAAATCAGCCAGCTCTGACCCCCTCATTATTTCTCTCGCTGAATCAATCTGGCGCTCTCGTTATTGGCAGGGACCCCAGCACACCTGCTGCTCCTCGCTGTGGTGCAGTGACTCTCTTCTCTGTGCAGGCGCTCTGTCTTCTGTCTCACTAGCCAGTGGCTTGCCTTCTTCGTGTGGATGTTTGCAGAACCTGATCTTTTACGTACACCTGTGTGCATGGCTGCGTTCCTCCAGTGCACATTGCCTTTTTGCTGGCCCTCAGTGGCTTAACTTTTTTTTTGTCAGCTCTTGATGAATATTGGGGGACTTGTAGATAAATACTGTATCTTGTGGAACCACATTGTGAGGTTGTCATACCAGTGTAGAGCAACATTGCTCTGTTATAGGCTGGGGACTAAAGAGCATTAGGATCTAGAACCTGTCCAGCAGGTTAAGGAAATAAATTGTGACACAATTATAGCCTAACTGCAATGAAGCACATTTCTTTGTACACCTGTACCTCTTTTTATGAAAGTAATTCGTTCCCAAAAAACTTGTCCTATTGTGAAAATAAATAAAAAAATCCTATTTCCATTATTTCTTAATGGGGAAAAATTACGATCCATTCTGGACCCCAAAAATGTCAACCCAGCTTTTGATTTCTTCACCAAAAAATGACAAAAGACTCAATAATAACTAACATTCATACTATGGTTTGTGTTTTTAGTAATGAAAAACACTGCTCATCTAGTTAGACATTATTAATCATACCTAAGTACAGTACTGTACAGTAATTACTTCATTCGCTTTTTGTGTAATTACAGACACACACAATTTTCATTTTTTAACACCTTTATGGTCTGTGATAAAGTCTAAACCACAGCTATTCTTACGAAAAGAGTGCACCCAATAGTGATTAATGCACGAAGGAAGATGCAGTGAACAGTATCACACGTCTCTCGTGTCACCCCATAGCCCCTTTGCTCACTATTACCCATACTACTTGGTGAAATGTGATGTCAACTCTTGACATGAAACGAGTCGTATAACACCTTCCCCTTCACCCTCTACATTTGGTGGAGGTTTCTAAAAGTTGTTTTTCGTCTCGCTTCTTTGTGGTTTCGAAGGCGGCTTGCATTGTTTGATATGAGGGTACCAATTCACATGCTTCGCCGTTTCTAAATTTTTAATACAAAAATAATGTGCGTAAAAAGATGTACGGATATATACAGTATGTCAGAGACCGTCTCTTCCTGATACAGATAAACAGCTGACCCTGACTTTGACATTGTGATTATTGCAGGCTCAGCGGCGGACCTGTGTAAAATGGCCATGATCAGGATTTTTTCTCACATCGCGTCCTCCCCCACTCTCACTGCAAGGTAACTGTGATGAAGAGTAAAGGAGGCACCTCTGATTGCTGATCGCTCTGTTTGAAGTGTTCAGCGGAGCTACTGAAATGTTCGGTGATTTTCATAAAAACCCGTCCTCTGTCCTCTTCAAGTGGTGAATTCTGAATCTGTAAGTATTCACACAAATGGCTGATTCAGAATTAGTGAACTAAACCCCTAACTGACTTCATGAAGCAGAATTCTACAGGAAAGGAAAGGGAAACTTTTATTGAAAAGATGTTCAAGGAATCTAAAATCCCAGAACAAAGTTTTTAGGTAGTTTTTTTTTTCAGATACTGTTGTGGGATCATGTATCATTAAAGAGGCAATAACCAAATCACAGTAATATCACACTACTGAGGAAACTCTTCAGAAACAAACTGAAGACAAGCTTGTCAAAAATTCTCCATTACTTCTTAGTGTACCATCTGAGCTCTGATGTTTCCATACGTATCCCGACTTGTACCGTAGAGTGGGAGCTATCCCACATCATATTCACACTCACATTCTGAACTGGCTACCCCTTCTTTAAGAAGATCTGATTACGCAACTGAGAGGAAGGCACTTTACAGATTCTGTCCACAATTAAACATAAAAGTTCAAGATTAATATAAGAAAATCAAGTTTTGAGGGACACAACATTATGAGATCATAGACTGTGCATCTTGCCTGACCAAGCTTAGTTAGAACCTCAAGCAATGCTATTGATTTTTCACAGAGACATACAGTGCCTTGCGAAAGTATTCGGCCCCCTTGAACTTTTCAACCTTTTGCCACATTTCAGGCTTCAAACATAAAGATATAAATTTTTTATTTT